TCAGAGTACGATCAGCAACAGCAATAATTACTGTATCCGTATAATGTATATCACCGTTTCGCTCCGTTAAAAATAAAAAACGGGAAATCCGTTACTGCCGCATTCATGCGTCGATTTTGCTGTGTCTCTTCTTTCACCCTCTCCCTCCCTCTCTCCCTCTCTCTCTCTCCTCCTATATTACCTTATCCCAGTTAGGTCTACCAGTCTGTGTCCTGGTCTTCAGTCCAGTTATAAGATCAATGTTCTTTTCTTTGTGTATCAGATCAAGAGCCATTTGTAGTCCTAATGCTTTAACATCAGTCCTTTGTAAAGCTGATGTGATGTACATGTGCATATCAAGGAACCGATCCATTAGTGTTCCATATTCATTCTGTTCCATTTCCAGTTCATTCAGTAGCTCCATGAACCACTCAAAGTGTCTCTGGTCACGATTGATCCAAATGAAATCAACCTAGCAATGATTCATAATAATTATCATTATTCAGTTTTAAAATGGTCGTAACTTGAAAAATTGAAGTTGGAATCAGCTCAAACTTTCTACATAGCATAAGGACATTAATCAATATGTATCAGAAAATATAATAAAAATTTGGCGTAATTTTGGGGCCATTTTTGGAAAAAAGCATGGGCTATAGTACAGGGAAATTTTTGAAAATTAGCCAATTTCTTAAAATGGCTATATAACATCACGCTGTACATATGCATCAATACAGTCCCTTATGGCAACTGTTGCTATGGTGATGGTTTGAGTGGGCGTTTGTGGGAAACTTGTATGGATTCTGTTTTTGATGTTTTAGTGTTGTACCATTAAAAATGTATTTTTGATAACATATAATTGTACAGACTAGCCTCTATATAATATACACTTTGAAAGTATCTCTGTTATACAGAGGTATCCTTTATGTGGAGGTTATTTTATCCAGTAAGGAATGTAACTGGTACACTAGGTGCTGTCCGTTAAATGGAGGTGTACGCTATAGAGAGTGTCCATTAAGAGAGACTATACTGTATACATGTACATTAGCACATACCAGTACATGTATATTATATATGTACATGTACATGTATATCAATATACCTTGAATTCAGTCTTATATTCCCAGTGCTTGCTATCTTGTGTGCTGGTATTTTATTGAACAGTTCAACTGAATTATGTACTAGTTCATTGACGTCAAATTCCTCGGGAAACTTTGACAAGAAACTGTGAATAGAACTCATCTCACAGTCCTGCTCTAATACCTCAGACCTACGAGTGTTAATTAATAATAGTTAATTAACCAGTTAGAAGAAAAATACAAAAACAGTTAAAAATTTATTGCACTGGTAGGCACATGTACATATTGATGTCCTTATGCTGTGTAGAAAGTTTGAGCTGATACCGACTTCAATTTTTCAAGTTACAGCCATTTAATAAAATGGCCAAAATCTG